AAGTGTGTTCATGAGGACATCTCATAAAACCACTTTCAACAAAATATGAATCAATGCAACCATACCACGCCCTAGGCGCTTGCTTTAAGCCATACAAAGCTTTTCTCAACCTGTACACTTTATTTTCCTCCCCTTTCTTCAGAAATCCTGCAGGTTGTTCAACATATATTTCTTCTTCAAGAAAACCATTCAAAAAAGCAAACTTGACATCCATTTGATGCAATTTCCAATCATTTTGAGCAGCAAGAGAAATAACCATTCGAACTGTATCAAGTCTACTTACAGGAGCAAAAACCTCAAAATAATCAATACCTGGTTTTTGCTTGTAACCCTTTGCTACCAACCGTGCCTTAAAACGGTCAATTTCTCCATTTGATTTGTACTTCGTTCTGTAAACCCACTTTACTCCAATCGGCTTCTTTCCAGGAGGTAAATCTGTTAACTCCCAGGTACCATTCTTTTCAATGGCACGTATCTCCTCATCCATCGCCTTAAGCCAATGAGTTTCTGTAGCAGCCTCCTCAAAAGTTAAAGGATCACAATCTGCAAAGAGAGAAAATTGAACAATCTCTTCATCAGACAGGTCATTATCATGACCCAAAACATAATCTTGCAAGCGAGCTGGTAAGTGGCGCTCGCGCTGAGATCGCCGAACTGACGATTCTGGCTGTGAAGGAGACTGGACATTATCTGGAATCGGTTGCTCTTCAACAATATTTTCAACAGCAGGAATAACAACTGAACTTTCATCTTTAGCTAACCAATCCCAGGCACCATATTCATCAAAAGTGACATCACGACTTATAACAACCTTTTTAGTTTCAGGATTGTATAGTTTATAAGCCTTTGAAGCGTCACTATAACCAATGAATATGCATTTCTCACCTTTATCATCCAACTTCTTTCTCAATGGATCCGGCACGTGGGCATATGCCAAACATCCAAAAACCTTGAGATATTTGATAGAGGGTTTTCTCCCACTCCAAGCTTCTTCAGGCGTCTTATCACGGACATTCTTAGTTGGACACCTATTCAACACATAGACAGCACAAGCAACAGCTTCTGCCCAAAAAGGTTTAAGCAGATCCTTGGATTTCAACATTCACCTCACCATATCCATGATTGACCTATTCTTCCTCTCAGCCACTCCGTTTTGTTGTGGAGTGTATCTAGCTGTCATTTGGTGCTGAATACCCTTTTCTTTCAGAAAATTATCACAAGCAATATATTCTGTACCTCTATCAGTTCTCAAGATTTTAACTTCATAACCACTTTGCTTTTCAACAAAAGCCTTAAATTGTTTGAAAACATCACATGCTTCAGACTTTTGCTTCAGAAAGTAAACCCATGTTTTCCTACTGAAATCATCAATGAAAGTAATAAAGTACTTACAACCTCCATATGAGGGAACCTCCAACGAACACAGGTCTGAGTGAACAATCTTCAACTGTTTTGTGGCTCTCCTTGACTTGCCCACGGGAAAGGGATCTCTATGCTTCTTCCCAATCACACAAATCTCACAGATACGATTAGGGACATTCACAACAGGTAAATCAGAAACAAGTTCCTTTCTCGCAAGATAGTTTAACCCAGAAAAATGAAAATGCCCAAACCGCATATGCCATAACCAATTATCATCACAAACATCAGAATTAAAGCAAGAAAGGAGAGTATGCTTAATTTTCAAAGGAAATAGTCGATTTTGGGACATATTTACCTTTGCAATCAAAACTCCTTTAGCATCTGCAATGGTACAACACCCCTGAGCAATATGTATCTTATATCCTTTTTCTGACAACTGACCCATACTCAACAAATTTTGGTGTAGTTCAGGAACATAGAACACATCGGATATAAAATTGTGAGTATCATCCTTCAACTGAATAGAGATTTTACCTTTTCCCAAAATTGGCACCTTTGACTTATTGCCAAACGTTACTTCAGACCGGACTGATTCATCCAATTCAGAAAACAATTCTTTCTTCCCACACATATGGTTACTACACCCAGTATCCAAGAACCATATGTTCTTATCTGCAGAAAAACTATCGCTGGCTAAAAGTAAAGTTTCAGAACTCTCACCAGACTTTTCAGCAGTGTTTTCAGCAATGTTTGCTTGATTTCCACGATTGTTGTCCTCATTATACCAACAATCTGCAATCTTGTGCCCATACTTGCCACAATTGTAGCAATGAAATGGAAATTTACCTTGTTTGGTATTACCTCCACATCTTCCTTGGTTGGAGTTACCACGTCCTCCTCCTTGGTTGAAGTTACCACGACCTCTTCCACCAGAACCTCCTCTTCCTCTTCCACGACCTCTACCAGATCCTCCACCTCTTTGATTAGTGCCAGTCACATTAAGGGTGACTTGACTCTTCAAAGCTTCTTCTGCTAGTGGTTCCGATTTTGACGCAATCCTGTCAATATGACTTTCTACCATACCTTTCAGCTCTGCAATTGATAAGAGCTCGGTTTTGTGTGACTCTGTTATTGAAGCCACCACATGGTCATACTTCATCGGCATAGTTCGAAGAACTTTTTCAACCACTGCACCATCTTTAATCGTATCTCCATATAGCCTCATCTTATTCACCATATCAATAAGACGAGTGAAATACGCATCTACTGTTTCTGTAGAGGTCATCTCACAATTATCGTACAACCTTCTCAACGACTGCAACTTAGACTTCTGCGCCTGATCGACTCCTTTGTGTGACACCTTTAAGATGTCCCAAGCTTGTTTTGCTGTTTGAGCACGAGCTAATTGCCCAAAAATGGAATAATGAACACCTTGGTGAATCTGACCCAAGGCCAATTTATCTCGCCGTATAGCGCCTGCATCAGCTCCTTCGGGTAGACCGGGATCAACAAAGCTCCAAAGATTTTGAGCTTGCAAATGTGTGGACATCATAATTTGCCAATAATTGTAATCGAGGTTCCCGTCCAATTTGGGACCCGACCATACAATATTGAAATTTGTGGCCATAATTCACTATGAAAAATACCTCGGGATTGAAAGGTTGACTGGCTCTGATACCAAATGTAAGATATATTAAATATAATATATATTATATATAATATATCTATGTATTTATATATAATAATATATAAATAGGAAGAGAGAGAGAGGAATAGATAATTTTATTGATGATCAGAAATGCTTGAATAACAAATCTATTTATACTAGATAAGATAATTCAAATGCTAAAATAAAGGAGTTAATGCTCCATGTAAAGCTAACATCATGGCCATGTACTGCACCTATAATTACTCCCATTATTTTTAACCAATTAACTAACTACTTGGTTTAATATTACTAATAATAATAATAATAATATTATTATTATTATTATTATAACAGTTGGGGAGTGTTGTTGGATAGTATCCGATGAATCCACGAATAACGCATCATTGTCTCCGTAGTCCTCAATATGCACATCAACAATCTTAAATATTAAGCCACATAGCTATGCTATATATTAATTTCAAACTTATGGACTTTGGGGTTGCATGCATGCTTCTTAAAGCCATATGGCTTTAAGATGTGAAAATTAAATGTTGCATTTAATTTTCACATCTTAAAGTAATTTTCACATCTTAAAGCCCATTTAATTTTAACAAGACTTTCACATCTTAAAGTCATATGGTCTTGTGAAAATTAAATGCAACATTCAATTTTCACAAGACCATATAGCTTTATTATATATAGGATAGGATAGGATGCGCCCAAAATTGCGATACAATCGTCAAAGACCCAAATTTCCACGCGGATTTTGATCCCCCAAAATTTCCATGCGATTGCTTTCACGAATAGCAATGTGCAGAAATTTAATTTTCTACACATTCTACCTAAAGACGACCGAGTCATCAAAGTAATCCTAAAGACGACCTTCATCATCCATGAGAGCAACGTAACTGAAATTTAATCTCTACAGAAAGAAAAAAAAAAAAAAATCTTCTTCGGAATTCTGTGTATATATCATGCAAAATTCCAAGTGAATAGCCCTCACCGATGAAAATTATTTATATTCCTGTGCTTGTTGATCTTCGTGTTGGACATGTATGTGCTTCACAACTTTCTAAACCATTTCAACTGTTTACCCTCAGATAAATTCATAAATTGAAAAAGCTAGCATTTCTTAGATAATGGCCTTGTTTGGTAAATGGTTGTTAGCTTATTGTGTTAATTAGAGAGTATAACTAGTTGATAACATTAGTTGTTGTAGAAAAGTGTTTGGTAAATTAGCTATTAGTTGATAGCTGTTTTGTATAATTTTTTTTTTTTTTTCTAAAAAGGCTAATTGAAAAAGTTACTTGGAATAGCTTTTTGAATTTTAGCATTTTGGAGTTGCAAAAAGCTAAATAACCAAACACTTATATTGATATTTTAGCTAAATCAAAAAATTAATAGTGGTTAAATAAGTCAAAATTGGCCTATAAGTCAATTTTTTTTTTATCAAACAGGGCCAATGTATAAGTAATAATTAATATGCTTGATTAAAAGGTTCATTTTATTTTATTTATTTTTGGCATCAAAGCCAGTATTTGTCATGAGGTTTAGAGTTTGTTTTTCAAAGCATACATGCAACTTAAGTTAGCTTGCTATGAACAACTAAATCACCTCAATTGGAGTTTGTATGAGAGATGACAAAAATACTCTCTGCATGTCACAAACTGTATATTTTTCTATTTTAGTTCAAAAATTGCTGAAATTCAAATAATAATAAATTAAGCACCATATGCAGTCAAACTAAATGAGATATAAACAAAACCATTATAAATATGGTATTGAAAATAAGTGCACATGAGTACTTATCATAATAATAGCATCTAGCAAGTTCACCGATTTGTCCCATAGTTAGACTTCATCAATATATGCATGTGTGTGTGGTTTTGTATTCTTGAGCTCTATATATACTCTCATCTTTTTGCAGTTTCCACCCAGTCAAGTGCACTCAGTATAATAAATTAAGTTTGTATCTTCTCCACTCCACAAAATGAGCTCCTCCCTATTTTGTTTATATGCCATATTTGCCTTCCTCTGCAAAACTTCCTTCTCCCTGCCCGGAAAAGTTTCTGATCACCAAGCATTACTTTCATTGAAGGCCAACATGATCGGAGGTCCTTTTCAATCATGGAATGAGTCTACCCATTTCTGTAATTGGGTTGGAATAACTTGTGGTCGCAAACACCAACGAGTTGTAACAATCAATTTGGAGTCGAGCAACCTTCAAGGCTCTTTGTCCCCTGCAATTGGGAACTTGAGTTTTCTTAGAGAATTGTGGCTTGACAACAACACTCTATCAGGTATAATTCCTAAAGAGTTGGGTAGACTAACAAGATTAAGTGTGTTGGTTCTGGAAAGAAATGTATTTTCAGGTGAGATTCCAAAAAACCTTTCACATTGTGTTAGTCTAAAAGATCTTGTTTTGAGATACAATATTCTAATGGGTACATTTCCTTCGGAGTTTCGATCACTGTCCAAACTTGAGTACCTTTTGGTTTCCACAAACCACTTGATGGGAGAGATACCTGCATACATAGGCAATTTTTCATCACTCAGGAAACTTTCTTTTGGTGGAAATAATTTCAAGGGAAAAATTCCTACATCTTTTGGATGCCTGCAGAAAGTTTTTACCATTGCTGTAGGCAATAACTTCCTGAGTTCTACCATTCCCATATCCATTTTCAATATCTCATCATTGGCAGCTTTTGATGTACAAGAAAATAAACTTGAGGGATATCTTCCTTCAAATTTAGGCTCTACCCTTCCAAATCTAGGGTATTTTTATGTTGGTTATAATCTTTTAAGAGGGCGACTTCCCATCTCAATGTCAAATGCCACAGCACTACACCATTTTGATGTTCGTCATAATGATTTTTATGGAGGGGTACCGTCATTTAGTGGACTTAAAAGACTAAAATATTTTGGACTTTATGACAATCCGCTTGGTAATGGAAAATCCACTGATATGGATTTCATGTCTTCTCTTCTCAATAGTACTGCTACACTAGAGACCATGTATCTTGATAACTGCAATTTTGGAGGGGTTTTGCCCAGATTCATAGCAAACTTTTCAAGTCTTAAGGATTTTTTCATTGATGAAAATGTCATAAGTGGTACTATTCCAAGTGAAATTCATCTTCTTATTAACTTAGAACACCTAGACTTATCAGAAAACCAGCTAAGCGGTACTATTCCAAGCACATGGGGAAGCCTTCGACAACTCATTGGTTTATACCTTGATGGAAACAAATTGTTCGGTGAGATTCCAATTTAATATAATAAAATAAGACTTCCTAAAATCCTGGTCCCAAGCATGTATCAGAGTAGCTTGATTGAACTCAACATCAGTCATAATCTATTCCATGGATTTATCCTTCCTTCTTTCAGTTCTTTAAAAAGCCTAGAAATTTTAGATTTATCTTGTAATAACCTCACAGGAAAAATACCAGAATTTCTAGGTGAACTTCAGTACTTGAAGTGGTTGAATTTATCATTTAACCATTTGGAAGGCAAGATACCTACAGAAGGGATTTTTAAACACAAGGCTAAAGTTGAGCTTGTTGGTAACAACCTTTGTGGAGGTATTCCACAATTTGGGTTGCCAATATGCCCAAGAGAAGGGGAAAGACAACATTTGTCCCATATTCAAAAGTTGGCAATTTTATTTTCGAGTGGGACTTTGATTCTGCTGATAATTGTGGCTCTCATTGTGTTCACCTACAAGCAGAAGAAAAAGCAGGCTTTAACGTTGGATGCAGCAACAGAGTTCATGCCTAAGTTGTCATATTGGAGTATACAGAAGGCAACTAATGAATTTTCTAAATCCAGCATAATTGGTTTTGGAAAATTCAGCACCGTTTACAAAGGCATTCTTGATGGTAGTTTGGGAATTGTTGCAATTAAAGTGTTCAAGCTTCAAGTAAGAGGAGCATCCAAGAGCTTTTCGGTGGAATGTGAAGCATTGAGGCAAATTAGGCACCGAAACTTGGTAAAAGTTTTGACCACTTGTTGTAGTATCGACCATGAAGGTAATGACTTCTTGGCCATTGTCTATGAGTATATGATTAATGGTACTCTGGATAATTGGTTGCACAATCACTCAAAAGACACAGGAGAGAATAATGATTCAAAGAGTTTGAACTTGTTACAGAGGGTAAATATTGCTATTGATGTGGCAAATGCACTTGATTATCTTCATAATCAATTGGAGACAGGTTTAGTGCATTGTGATTTGAAGCCAAGCAATATTTTGTTGGATGAAGATTTAGTTGCTCACGTGGCTGATTTTGGATTAGCAAAGTTTCTTTCCATGGAAGTTACATCTAACCAAGCGAGTTCATCTATAGGAATTAAAGGGACTTTTGGATATGCAGCTCCAGGTAGACTATTTTCCTTGAAACTTTTAAGAGAGAATCACTTTTAACTAAACATAAAAACTTTAAAAAGTATATATTTTTTTTGTGAAAGAATACTAATGTTTGAATTTGAATTTTTTCAGAGTACGGGATGGGAAGTGATTTGTCAACATTTGGAGATATGTATAGCTATGGGATCCTTTTGCTAGAAATGTTTACCAGTAAAAGTCCTACTAGTGATATCTTCAATAATGGCTTAACTCTTCATAACTATGTTAGAATGAGCATGCCTAAGCAAGTCATTGAGATTGTGGATCCCAAACTATTCCACAAAGAAGCTAATGCAACACCTAAAAGTCTTGTACTTCAGAGCCAGATACTAGAATGCCTTGTATCAATTCTTAAGATTGGAATAGCTTGTTCCGTGGATTTACCTAGGGACAGAATGAGCATTGGCAATGCGGTCAAGGAGTTGCTTTCAATCAAAGCCACCCTTGTGGAACTTGGAGACATTAGGACTATTCCTTGGTGACGCAATTCATTTGTGACGCTCCTTAAATTAGTGCATTGAAAATATTCAAGTGCTCCATGACTCCATCTCATTTAAAAGTCTAAACTAATAGTTGGATTGCACATTTATGTTTATATATTATATGCTCAACAAGTGTAATGTTTTTGTTTCATGCCATATTCAATATTGGTCGATGTCATACTGCCATGTGGATCTGAAACAGTTAGAGCAGGTTGTATCAAGCAAGCTAGCAGTGGAGTTTGCAACTTCAACAATTCAATCAGCAGATCAGAGACTGAGATCAAGCAAGGGAGCAGAGTATGTGGATTGATTCATTCCTATTGTGCTTGATTGAGAATTTGATTTGATTTTATTTCGTTTGTGATGTTGGTTAATTTTGATGTTTTGAAGATTTTGGTCCTTTCCCTTTTGCAGTTAATTAGTTTGAGAGTTCCTTGCAACTTCTTTTTCTTGCAAATTTCTTTTCTTTATTAGACAATGCTTCTTGCTGTCTTTGGAGTTTACTGAGAATTGCAATAGAAAAAACACCTAGAATATCCACATGTAAGAACTCAAAGCAAGGAAGTAGAAACATATGTGCTTTTAGGAAAATGACTCATTTTCTGCTAGTAGCATTAACATGCATTCTTCATTATATGTGTTTCTAATAAGTAATACAATCCATTGACCTCTTTAGCCAAATCATTAATCATCTGCAACCCAAGTATTCTTGAATAAAGCAAATGTTGAAGATTCTTCTAGCATGCTTGTTTCCAACTGATTATTTGCAGAGCTATTTTAGCATAGACCTTATTCATTGATGGATAGGATCCATCACCATAAGTTGTAATCTCACTTCAGCATACTCTTCATTGAGACCTCTCAAAAATCTAGCCATAATCATTCTCAAGATGGGTCTTGATTTAGACCCAAAAAACAAAAAAACAAAAAAACAGTACATGAACTTCCTGGATTATACAAGTTCGCCTCATAAAGTTTTTAGTAAATTGATGTAATTAATCAGTCACAGTATTTGTCCCTAGAATCATGTGATCAGGGAGCAGAATAGTGTGAATGATTTTGTTACTAAGGAGCCTCTTAAGTACATGTGTTCAGAGAGCAGAATAGTGTGAACGATTTTCTTACTAAGGAGCTCCTTAAGGCTATGTTTGGCAAACATATTGACAGATTGATTTGGAATGCAGAAGAGAATGGGATATACTCTGTTAAAAGTGGGTACAGGTGTTTGAGAGGCGAATGTTGTAATCCTCATAGCCTGTGTTGGTCTGCTATTTGGAATCTTCCTGTCCCTCCCAAAGTAAAAATTTTTGTGTGGCAGAGCTTTCATACTCGTTGCAAGTCTCCTAGAAGCATTCCTGCTCTCCAAGGGGCTGGTTGAAACTCAACACTGATGCAGCCTTTGATGGCTACATTCTTAGGGACTCAGATGGTAGGTTCAATTCGTGGCTGCAAAAACGTCTACTTGGGATAGTTCTCTCCAGGTTAAGGTGGCGGAAGTAATGACTGTCCGTGAGTGTGTGAAATGGGCTCATTCCAGAGGCTACGGGGCTATGAAATGACATCTTCATCAAATTTAAACACTTTTAAATTTAAATAAGTTTGTTTACATATTAAAATTCCTTTTATACATTTATTGTTAATGTATTGAATTTTTTTATTCAAAAAGTAAATTTGTAAAATGAAATTAGAAAAAAATAGAGAAATAGAGTAAATGATATCCTAATTTTTTCTTAATCTACTAAAGCACAACACCCTAATTTTTTTTCTTAATCTACTAAAGCAGAACACCCTAATTTTTTACTACTGCCTCCACTAAGATTCGAATCCACAACTTTCCATAACCACAAGGTTCTTGGCAAACCCTTACTATATCTTTCCCCTTTTCTATCTCTACATCTACATCTACATCTACATCTACATACATACAATTCTAATAAGAGCCAATAATGTTAGGCCCTTAACTGGAACAAAAAAATGTCGGTACTATTGTTTTTTAAAATGAATGGTTCATATTATTTTGATTTTAGTATTTTTTTTTAGTGATTTTCCTTATTTACCCTCTATTATATTATTTTCTTCCCTTAAATAACATAAATTCCGTTAGTATAAACTTTAGTAACGGAATATTCCGTTAACTATTTATTATTTTTAATTTACTCATTAATTTATATAAGAAATGTCTTAGGTTCGAACCCCATCCCAAGTAGAGTTGACATAATTGTTAAACATATACTACGAATATGTTAAAATGTATTACAAAAATCTACTATACTAATAACAGCCTAAGAGAGTTAGGCCTATAATGGGTAGAAAAAATGGCGGTCAAATTTTTTAATCAAATGAATGGCTCAGATTGATTAGATTTTAATTTTTCTTTAATATTTACTAATTTATCCTTAATGAATATGATTATCCATTAACTTTTCCGTTAAATATTATCTTTTCCGTTAATTTCTGTTAGTCTCGACAATTGGTTGCACGATTCCGAGAATTTGAACTTGTTGCAAAGGGTGAATATCGCAATTGATGTAGCAATGGCACTTGATTATCTTCATAATCATTTGGAGAATCTTTTAGTACATTGTGATTTGAAGCCAAGTAATATCTTATTGGATGGGGAGTTGGTTGCTCATGTAGGTGATTTTGGACTAGCAAAGTTTCTTCCCATAAAAGACACACCTGCATCTTCATCTATCGGAATTAAAGGGACGGTTGGATATGCAGCTCCAGGTAATTAATTAAGCTATATATTCTCTTTAATTTTCTGAATTATTTCAACTTAATTAATACCTTATGCGTGTTGTTTTAGAAATTTTCTTAAGCAGAAAGAATTGACAAATTAAATTATCTCATATATACTACTAATACTAACTCTTGAATTTGAATGTTTTACAACAGAGTATGGGATGGGAAGTGATCTGTCAACATGTGGCGATATGTATAGTTATGGAATCTTTTTGTTAAAAATATTCACCGGTAAAAGTCCTACTAGTGATATCTTCAATAATGGCTTAGCTCTTCATAACTATATTAAAATGGCCGTACCTGAAAAAGTCATTGAGATTGTGGATCCAAAGCTATTCAATGAAGAAGCTAATGCAACAACTAAAACTTTTGTACTTGGGGACCGGATATTAGAATGCCTTGTGTCAATTTTTAAGATTGGAATTGCTTGTTCCATGGAGTTACCCAAGGACAGAATGAACATTGGCAATGCCATCAAGGAGTTGCAGTTAATCAAAGACACCCTTGTGCAACTTGGGGACATTAGTACCATTCCTCGGTGAGATATTTTATTTCCTTTATGATGTTTGGTTAATTTTGGATCTTTTGCAGTTAATTACTTTACTTTAAACACTGCTTCTCTTTTGCACTCTCTGGAGTCTGGAGTATACTGATTTTTCAATGATATTCATTTTCCAGTTAAACTTTAGCATGATTTGATTTACAAGCTAAGAAACTCAATAAAATTTGGACTGCAGTATCATTATCATGGATTGAGACCAAGATTAATAATTCGATATATACAATGGTGGAACTACAAAATTTCATTAGGGTTGCTTCCTTCTGCTGTGTTCTCAGCCACTGTCCTCCCTCCTTTCTCTCTTTTTCTCCGCTTCTTCTCCATGATATCAGCTCCTATAGCTGTTACAGGTACAAATTTTTAATTAATTCAAAAATCATTTAATTTTAAAAGTTGTTCATGGAATGCAGGAAAAAAAAAAAAAAAAGTGATACGCAAACATGGTATGTAATAACAAAATATAAAAGGCAGAAGTGTCAAATAGGCCCATTTACTACTACGAAGTGCTCAATTTCCACCACAAACTAAATTAAGTGTCAAATAGATCCATTTATGAGTTATATTTGTTCAATTGACTTTTTTTACAGGTTAATAACATGTTACCTATTTAATTATTAAAATAAATAAAATAAAATAAAATTTATATAAAAAAAAAAAAAAAAAAAAAAAAGAATACAGCCACCGGCTGTCCGGCGGCTGCCATTTCAAAGACAGTCGTGGCAGTCCGGCAAGGACAGCCGGTGGCTGTATTCTTTTTTTTTTTTTTTTAATAATTTTTAAATTATATTTTTAATAATTGAATTGGTAACCTGCAAAAAAAAGTCAACTACCTGCAAAAAAAGCTAATTGAACAAATTTAGTAGGTAAGTGTGGTCAATTAGCCTTTAATTTAATTCATGGTAGAAATTGAGCACTTTATAATAGTACACGGGCCTATTTGACACTTCTCCCAATATAAAATATTGAGATAAGGGGTAAATTAACTTTTGAACTATTTGAAAAAAATGGAACTAACCTCCTAAACTAATAAAACAATCCTCAATGGATCCATCAAACTTGTAATTAGATCCTTTTAATAGGCTATCATCAGATAACCTTTTAAAAGCACTTGAGTTGGAATCCATATGTATTTTAGTAGTTGAGTTGGCATCCTCATGTATATTCTTTCCAACTTTCACCTCTATGACCAGTTGAGCTGCCCATACAGGCTGGAATCTTCATGTATATTAATTAAACTAGTTTTTTTACGCGCTTTGCGCGAATGAGATAATGCCCAATGATTATTTTTAAATAAGTATTTCAAAGTATATCAACGCAATATTATATCGGAGATGTTCATGCATATGTAAATAAATATTGAATTTGTTTATTTAAATCGGTAATTCAAAATATATAAATGCAAGATAATATTTATTGAATTTTTCTAATCGATATTTGGTAGTGGTAGTTTTCCCCTACATGTTTCATGCATTGTGAGATGTGTGTCGTAGGTTATCATGTGAAAGTATTGAACAAAATATTAATATTTATTATATTTGTATAAAATACTTGGTAAATAAATATATATAATGTATTTTGTATTATAACTTTGATATTTAATTACAAGATAATGTAAAAAGAAGACAATGGACAATGCAGTGAATATAATAAATTGATAAATTTGAAGGTAATGAATCTTTGAATTGTAGAAAATAAA